GGAAGGGGGGGGGGGTTGCCCGGGGGGGGGGGGGGGGGGGGGGGGGGAGACAATGTCCCCGTAAGTGGGCTTCGCTTAAAATCCCTCGGAAGTGGTTTAGTGGAAGAAGCCCCGAAAAATATTTTTGGGGGTTTGAAGGGTTATTTACTCAATTTTAGAATTTATATTATGTCATATAATAAATATATAATTTTTGTTCTCCCAGAGAAATTGTTTTTTTTCTCCTCGAAAAGAAGAGAAAGGAAGAACAAGTTCTCCTAGATGGGCGGCCCTGGTCCCCTGATTCCCACTTTCAAACATTTTCGCATACATTGTGTTTTTCCTCTAAACAGGATGACCAAGATACAGAGGCTATGAGGACAAAAATTGACAGCGTAAGATCTTTTGGAAAAGGACGTATTGCACAAAGCAAAACAATCAACGGGCCTTTAAATGGCATAAAAGCAGTCGTAAGTGATCTGGATAAAGAAGAACTAGATCAGGTAGGATCCAATATTTTTATATATACATAGGTATTATACTACTAGAATCACTCCTTTTACGCTACGCAGTAAAAGAAGCCTCCCCGGTGGATGTTTAACCAGTATAAAATGTCAAAATATTTTAATTTGTTTTTTGAAAATGCAAGGACGGCTAGCGAACCTAGGTAAGCAATAGGTAGCCTGCTGTGCATCCTTCTACTGTACGAGCCTTCATGGCTAGAAGCTACGCTAAACTACCAAAAAAACTTGACAGTTATCTTCTACCTCTAAAAATACAAGCCTATAAAACGATAAGCTACTAGGCCTAGCTAGCCCAGCCAGGACGCATTATTACAAGGTTTATTGATAACTATTAGTGTAACCAGCTTCTAGCCTAAGGAGTTAGTCTGGCCTACTAGAGGAAGAAGGCATAGCAGGTACTTACTTACATACTTACTTACAGTAAGTATTGTAAAATAAGGCTTGCGCGGGAAAGAATTAGGCCTAGAATTAAATAAAAATAAGGGCCAATTTCCGCGCAATTTTTACTGAAAATAGGCCTAGGCCCCCTATGCCTCTCAATACAGCCTACAACCAATAAAAGTATTATGCAGCAAGGCTTAGGTCTATCACGATTCTGCGCAACTAGGCTTAGTTCCTAAGCCTATTTTAATTGATTTTTTTGTGCGCAAACTTGAGTTGATTATGGTATTGAGTTATCCTTCGCTCATATGTCTATAAAATACTAAGTCAATCGTGACGTCATCACTGTAACTCCCAATGTTATTTGCCTATTTCCCACCGTCCAATAATTTTTCTAATAGTGGACGCTTGGATTGATTTTTTTAGGTTCGTGTGCAGAAAAAAAAAATCGTCACTCGAAGATATCGCGCACCACCGCGATGAAAACTGAAATGTAATATGAAAATTACTTTCGTAAAACAAGCTTCCTATTGGAGCCCGAAGAAATTTACTTCAAATTCAATTACTATTAAGTATGGACAAATTCATTGAATCAATAAACCCTCATAAACTAAACAAAGTGAACGTTTTAATAATAGGAATATTCTAGACCAATTCTAAAGACTCAATAAAGAACAAAATTATATGTAGGCCCTATGTAGGGCCTAATGCCTACGGCCAGACAGGGGGACGCCGAGGGTCTCCTCTGCCATACCTGCTACTACTAGTCCATCGCCTAGACTAACCCAGTTATGAATCATTGCACGATTTGAGGGCGTTTGATCAAGTCAGATCTACATTTTGAATTTGAATTACATTTTAAAGAAATTAGTACAACATTTTGGAATATTTGAACTACGTTTTGAAAAATTAAAGCTTCATTTTGGGAAACTAAGTCTACATTTTTGAGAAATTTACGCCTACGTTTTGATAAATTAGACATTGAATTTTGCAATTACATTTTGATTTAAAAATGGAGTTTTGCTGCGTATGGCACCCCATAGAATCGTACACTAGCGGAAAATGATTATACTTAGGTTAGATTTAATGCATAATTGTTATACTTAGGTTAGATTTAACGCATAATGCACCTAAATACAGCGTTTCCATTCTCGCTAGCACAAATAACTGCTGCCATTGCTATGAGTAATAAATTGCTATAACTGTATTTTGATAAACACAGCCGGCCCTGCTCGAAATGGGTTGTTTGTGAGTACAGTACGGTACTGTCATGACGATATTCGATTTACAATGCGTTTCGGAGAAACTCCATTGATTTTGACTGCGACGAGTTTGAAACAATATTGTGTTAAAACAAATACAGCGCAATTGCGTTTAACTAGTATTAAATTAACAGTTTATTAATAAAAAAATGAAATTAATTCACTATTGTATAAACACATGAAATATAAATATTTCATGCAAATTGATGATAATTATTATAGTGGTATACAATGATACAATGATTGTGGTAGCAAACAATTTACCACCAACAACAACGACAAGAACAACACCGAAAACGACGACGACACCGACAACAACGACAGCAACAGCAACAGCATGAAGAACCGTTTTTTTTTTTTGGGGGGGGGGGAGGATAATAATTTTAAACATATTCATTAAGATTGCAATATGCGTGATATAATTAAGGTAATAGTCCGGGGGCATATGTCAAAAAATGGGCTCCCGTGGGATTTTTGTGATCACTTTAGTTTTTTGGATGGAATATATACTTTGAAGTATGCTGAATCCAATAAAATGAGATCTTCATATGTAAATTAGTTCTGAAAATGTAGGGTACTTATATCTTAATAACCACTTGTCGTAGAAAGTTGATTTTTTCTTAAAGTTGTTCAGAACATGCATGTTTCTATTTACCCTAATAAAACATTTTCTTCAAAAATGACCGGAAGTACAATTTTGCCGACCTTATTAGCATAAATATGCAAATTAAGGGTGGAAATATAGGGAGCTATATCTAGAAAACCACTGGTCGTACAGAGTTGTTTTTTTGCAGCAAAATGTTTAAAACATGCATATTTATATTTACTATAATGGACAATTTCCTCTAGAAATTACCGGAAATTGTGTTTTTGACCTTTGACCTCAACTTCGCATGAATTTAATATCTTGGCAACCAATAGGCCTATATACTGCAAAGCTAGGTCAAAGGTCAATAAAACAGTTTGTAGTTGATATTGAGAAATTATTCTGTTAGAGTATAAATGTGCATATTGTAAATATTTTGTTAAAAAAAGCAACTCTATACGACCAGTTGTTGCCAAGATATTACAATCACGCAAAGTTGAGGTCAAAGGTCAAAAACGCAATTTCCGGTCATTTCTAGAGAAAATTGTCCATTATAGTGCAAAAAGCAACTCTGTACGACCAGTGGTTTTCAAGATATAGCTCCCTATATTTCCACCCCTAATTTGCATATTTATGCTAATAAGGTCGGCAAAATGGCACTTCCGGTCATTTTTGAAGAAAATGTTCCATTAGGGTAAATAGAAACATGCATGTTCTGAACAACTTTAAGAAAGAAGCAACTTTCTACGACATGTGGTTACTAAGATATAATACCCTACATTTCAGACCTAATTTGCATATTTCAGCTAATTTGCATATGAAGATGAGCGTAAAAAAATTGGCGACTCATTTTATTTGGTTCAGCATACTTCAAAGTATATAATTAAAAAAAAAAATGATCACGAAATTCCCACGAGATGATATAAGCCACCGGATTATAATATTTCTTTTGTACTACTATCTGAAAAAAACATCTATAACCTCAGCCAATGGAGTTGGTAGGAGGTTATATTTTTCCAGTGTCTACTTTACTTTACTTCGGTCGTTCGTTCGTTCATTCATGCATTCATTTATTTATCTGTCGGCATATTATTTGTGAACAACCTACAGCCCATAATTTTTATTAGAAATTCGTCAAACTTTGCCGCAATATTCCAATACCAAAGATGTAGAGCTGATAAAATTTTGAAGGATTATATCAAGGTCACAACCAACGAAAACATTTTTTTTTTGTTTATTTGTCTACAGCCGCTAGTTTTCCATCACATACTTGGTCAATACAGATTTTTGAATATTTAAAAACTGGGGAAAAAGGGGCGTAACCGCCTTTTTTACACCTCCCCCCCCCCATTTTTTAAATATTCAAAAGTCTGTCTATCATTCACCGTTCCCCAGTTTTTCGTCAGACAACTTTTTTCTGTCTTAGAAAAATCAGTGCTACAACATATCAAATTTTGTTTTTACTCCAGAGTCTGACTTTAATTTCAAAGACATATTATGTCAAAACAGTTTGATGTATTGGTTAGATGGATGTTTTCCACACTACCGCCGTCGGGTTCAAATCCCATGGTGTCTACTTTTTTATTTTCCTTTATTCTTTTTTCTGGGAACAATATGCGTGGGAAAATTATACTGAGGAGAATTCTGATGTGGGCGGAGGTACGCACTCACAGAATACCCTGTAGTTTGTTATTCTATTGTAAGTTTATTATCATTATTTTATTATTGTTATCATTAAGCCTATCAGAACTTCTTTTGTTGAAAGTAGCTGACTTATCAGAAACAAATTTATTTTTTTTCAAATAAAGGTAAATAATAAAGAACACAAATTGTATTAGTTCATTTTTAAATTGATAATTTAAATTAAAGTTGCACAAATTAATCAATGAGGTAAATACATCTGAGCACCTATAAGAAAAGACAAGATTATCATGTTAAATGATGCTCACCCCTTTCATTTATAAAGTTGTCTTCCGGAAAAGACACCTCAACTCATTTGTTTCATATTCAGTAAACACATACTCTCCGGTTCAATTTTATTCGGTGCCCTCATTGTGTTTCAGCTGGATGACTAAACATGCAAATTGCAATATTTCGCCGCCTCGAATCAATCTGTATATATCATGAACTGTATTTCAAGTATCCTTACTTCGGATTCTTTGCTTTTTCATTGTAGATTCTTGAAATGAAGGGTGTAAAGTATGTCGAAAAAAATGCGATATGTGAACCGTCTGCGTACACCGATGTTTGGGGATTAGATCGTATTGACCAGCGGAACCTTCCACTTGATTCAGAATATTCATCAACGGGTAATTAGTAGGAGGTTTCACATTATAATGTCTAGTATACATTATAATAATGATGATATTGTTAATACTAAATAATAAAAATTTGATAATTAAAATACAAGTCTCTCTTTAAAAAAAAAATCCATTTAAATAAAGGCTACATTTTTGCGGCCAAATTAATGTTATTCTTATTTTCACAGGCAAAGGCCAAAACTGCTAAAGATCAAACATCCATTTTTCCAAAACTGATCTTTAGAGAGACACCTGTATTTTTATGTTATTTTACCACAATTACAATTCAGTACTGATGTCCAATATTACTAAACGTAAGATAGAATGATACTAGTTTTTGTTTTAACTATTCATAAAAAAATAAAAATTATTTATTCTATATTAATTGTGTTGCGGAGATTCCCGAGTAGTATCTCTTAAATAACATTATTTTATATTGTGATTTGAAACTCCCAATGTTCGGGACATTTTTTTAAGTTGATTGAATATTGAGTTCCAACGCTTGAAAATAATATTTATTGAAAATTAGTAAAATAATAAAAAAAAAGTTGACATCGGCTGCTGATTTTATTGTCTTTTTTGTAAGCTTCTCAAGTTGTCTGCAATCCAGCTTACAAAAAAGACAATAAAAGCAGAAGCCGATGTCAAACATTTAAAAAAATTGTAAAACCTTTGGTGTTTTCCCGAAATTTAATAAATAATTATAAATAGCAATATATATTTACTAGACTTATTGTACTATGTCTATTGGTAAAACAGAATAAAGTAAAATATACATCATCATAAAAAAATAACGTAATGAAAACAATGAATTATATATATATATATATTTATATATATATAAAAATTCATATCTGATCGATTTAGTCGATGAAGTTCCACGTATGTCTCGATTGTATAAAATAACACTGCAGTTGTTAACATAAACGCCGGACACTTTGACATAATTTGAGACATGTACATTTATTCAACGAAATTTTCGGCAGCACCTGCTGCCTTCGTCAGCGTAAGAGTGTCGCTCTATATATATATATATACATATATATATATATACATACATATATATATATATATATA